AGTGGTCAGTGACTTGGCTTCAGGCACCTCCAGCTGCTGGCAAAAAGGCAACCCTCAGTGTCTCGGAGGGGAGGAACAATAGTGCATTTGACAGACCTCGGCTGCCAATTTTTACTTGGCCCTCAATCTTCTGCTTGAAAGTTTGACCTACAACAATGACCTCAGAGCCATCTGGGGGTATAGAAAATCACTCAGCCTTCTCAGATCTGCTTTGGAGGCATTGCCACAAGACAAGAAACGGAGCCAAGTGTGTGCGGGTGTGTGTGACAGACACACACACACACACACACAATTTAAAAAACTGACACATCTACTGTTTCATCTAAATATATATATATGCTTGTGTGTGTGTGTATAAACTTGATCTTTCGCCTAAAATGTATGTGTGTATGTTTGTGTGCGTCTATAAAATCTGACAGTCTAGCATTTCACCTGTGTGTGTGCGTGTGTGCGCACTATACACAAACTTGACATGGTTTAGCTGTTTGCCTATTACATGTTAATTTTACAGGCCTATTACATCTAAATATATAAAACGTGTATGTGTGTGCAAGCATATAGGCACGTGGATGTGTATAAAACCGGACCTGGTCTAACTTTTCACTTCAGATATAATTTATGTGCATATATGTATGTCTGGGCATGTGTGTGTATGTATAAAACGTGACATGGTCTAATGCAGTGGTGCTCAAAGTGTGCTCTGGGAAGCTCAAGGGTCCCCCAGACCACTTCAGGGGGGTCTGTCACGTCAAGTAAATGAATATTTTACAATTTCTCAGTTTTAATTTCCAATACATATAGCAAAAATCAATAGATATAACCCACATAAACCAAAGCTCTTTGGGGTCTTCCATTATTTTTAAGAATGTAAAGGGGTCCTGAGACCACAATGTTTGAGAACTGCTGGTCTATTGTTTCACCTAAACATGTACCTAGATATAAAAACTTGACATGGTCTAGCTCAGTGTTTCTCAAGCTTGGCCACTTTAAGAGGAGTGGACTTCAACTCCCAGAATTCCCCAGCCAGGGAATTCT